GTTATGAAGAAAAGAACAAGACAGGAACTTTCCAAAGATTGGAAGTCAAGATTTCTTGTGTCCTAGTAACCAACTGATATTACTAACGAACGAATATTATATGTTGTGTCCTTAAGGCACATGACATTATATGAACATTGGAATTTTCTCCATACAAGGTAACCAAAAGAATTCTCTAATCATGTACGGCTTTACAAAATAAACTTCACATATTCATTTGGTGTGCGGCTTTAATATGATAAATAACTATCCAAAAAACAAGACATAACTTGACATAATTTAAAGCATCCAAAAACCGTTTGTTTTGCTACACATTGATATTCTCACCACCAAACTAAACCCATTTTCCCCACTTCAACAAGTGTTTTATAGAGAACATATATAAATAGGAAACCCATATTCCCAATTATTCAACAACCATAGCACTCATCATTAGCATTCTAGAAAACACAAAGTTGCTTTTAGGGCTCAATTTGGTCATTTTATATCATCTCCATGGACAATATAATCAGTCCCAAGAGGCTCATTAGAATTGCTAGCAAGTGGCAGAAGAGAGATGCTATGGGGAGGAACAAAAATTCATCGCCAAGAGCAGCTACAAACAACATGCTGAATAATATGGTGGGTGAAAAGGGAACTTTTGTTATCTACACCATTGACGGAGGCCGTTTCGTACTGCCATTATCCTATCTCTCAAACTGCATTTTCCAAGAGCTCTTCAAGATGTCTGAAGAAGAGTTTGGCCTCTCAAGTGGTCGTGGGCCAATTATCTTGCCATGTGACTCGCTCTTCATGAATTACATACTCTCATTTCTCCAGCGAGGAACGACTGGAGATTTGGAGAAAGCTTTGCTTGCCAACTCTCTCTTTAGCAGTAGCTGCTCAATTTCCAAATTGCATCAAGGACAAACAAGAAACCCAACCATTCCCTTGTGGTTACTGCTGAGCACATGAAATCATACTAGAAGTTTTGTAAATGAGCGATGGGACTTGAACTGAATGTGAATATATTTGTATATGATGTATAAATACATCATGGAGATCATGCTTTATGTATCTTGGCTTTCCAATGTTTCATGACTTGTTCTTGTACGTTTGTTTTTAGTTTACGTCGCGATAATTTTGCTTCCAGAACTTTCAACCATGGAGTTTACAGGAATATTGTAATTGGACACTCAATCATGAATGTGTAACTATAAACTCATTATACGTGTTATGTTTTATCATTGGAGTGAATTCAATACACCGTGTTACGTTTTATAATAATTTGAGTAAATTCAATACACCGTGCAACAAGCGATCTAATAGTATTCCCATCATTTTGATGTTAAGAAGACACTTGCCGAACCACAAAAATCGCAATAGACGACGGTAATCCACCGTCGTGTATCCGGTTTTTCAACCGTTGTGAAATCGACTGACATCTTTTGATGCATAAAACCATGACGGTAAATCCCCGTCGTCTATTATTTGTAAAGATGACACTTTTACTCAAAACCATCGTCTATTAGATGTAAAGACGATGGTTTTTTTCAACAAACCATCTTCTATTAGAGGTAAAGACGACAGTTTTTTTGAAAGAACTGTTGTTTATTATATCCAAAGACGTCGGGTATGTAAAAAACCGTCATCTATTATTTGTGAAGACAACGGTTTCTTGAAATACTGTCGTCTATTAACTGTAAAGACGACGGTTTTTTTAAAAGAACTGTCCTCTATTAGATGTAAAGACGACAAGTTTTTTGAAAGAACTGTCGTTTATTATATCCAAAGACGTCGGGTTTGTTAAAAAACCGTCGTCTATTAATTGTGAAGACGACGGTTTCTTGAAATTTCTATTGTAATGTATAAAATATTTCCTCTATATCTGCAACCCATTCGAGAAACCCTTTAATACAGTCACTTCCCATAAAACATGGAACATCTGCAACATAGGATTGAAGAGCTTGGCTTCGGGCAAATCCACTAGCGCGTTCCTCTTTAATCTTTGATATTTCCCCACGACCATCGTCGATGAGGTTTGCGTATACCTCCCATCTCCGCTCATCATTGAGAAGGAAAATTCTTGCTCTGAATGATGACCCGCTCTGATACCACTTGATGCAACACAAAAGCATGGGTTGTGATGTAGGATAAACTGAAATCCATGAGCGATTGGAATCCACCAAAAAATAGAGAAAATCTCTTAATTTGATTAAGAATATCATAAAACTAATTAATACAATGTCATGAGTTGGCTTAAATAGAAAACCAAGAAATCCTAAAACCGTGGGAAACCTAGGTTCCAGAATATTCCTAAAACTTACCTAATAAGAAAACTAATTAAAATCATATCATGAAAATAATATCCTGATTGATAACTTATTCTAAAATATATAAACATAATATAAATCTTTTCAAAAAATTAAGCAACCCCAAAATCCCAATGATGCGCCGTCCTTCTTTTTCTAGTGCCATAATTGATGCTTAACCAGAATGTTCCTCTCTTGCACAATGTCCTTCCAACTTTGAGCCACTTTATTTTAATTAATATTTCCCACCATAAATGACTCATATATCGTCCTACATCACAACCCAAGGGCAATTACTATTTATATGGGACTAATTTTATTTATACATATGAGATTAATAATAAAAGAATTTGCTAGGTATGTATAAAAAAAAAAATCTGAATTTTTTGGTAATTTTTCAGAATTGTTTTAGATTTTTTATAAATTTTTTTATTTGCTGATGTTAGCGCCCTTAGGCAGCAGCTTGGGCTGATCTTGCCCTGGGCCTTGCCTAGGCTTGGTGGACCCCAGCTCTTGCTCGAGATGGATGTTTGCCCTGGAATCACTTTTGGAGGCTTAGGGGGCATTTTGCCTGGGCTGGGCTTCTACGATGGAAGTGCTCTAAGGAGTTGAGCTACTAATTTTCTCCATTGCGAGTTAATTTTGGAGTGGGATGTCAACTTTCTTCAAAATAAAAATAGCGAAAATTTAAGAGTGGTTTTTAACTAAGGAAATATTTTTTTTAGGGCCTCTCCTACTGAAATGGATGATATTTACATAAACTCACACACACATGCTAGGACTCGAATCCAGGACCATCTTTGGGGAGCTTGGCTCCAAATCACTACACCAATGGATCCTTAGCAACTAATTAGAAGGAGTTTTATTAAACAAGTGGATCCTTAGAAACTGAGGAAATTTTATTAAACCAAAGGATCCATAGCAACTAAGGAAATTTTGTTAAGCTTGATCGAAATGTATAGTCTCAAATTCCGCTAAATTACCAGTCATCCCAGGATTTCATAATTGACTTGTACCATGCACTCCAAGTGAGGGTCTTTTCTAAGGCTCCTTTTAACTATTGAATTGAATTGGTTAATTGTTGGATCAAATTGGTTAGTTTGATCCTTTTTATCTAACGGTTAAGAGATATGGTCTCATTTAAGGGCGTTATCTAACACCCTCACTATAGAATGACTCCTATAACGTAGAGATCAAATAAAATATTATGGTCAGTTTAGCATAATAATACTACTACAATAATATTTCCCTATTTTAGACTAGAAGTCTACTTATAAAAATAAAATAAAAATAGAAACTTACTTAAATAATAATAGTGGTCCCTATTGAATTTTGTTGCATATTGAAAATTAAGGGAACTAGCATAAGTTTATAAGGAGTTGAGCTACTCTTCTTCCGCTTTGCAAGTTAATTTTGGAGTGGAAAATCAACTTTCTTCTAAAGGAAAATGGAGAAAATGTAAGAGTGGTTTTTAACTAAGGAATTTGTTTTAGGGTCTCTCCTATTGAAATTGACGATATTCATCTAAACCCACATACACATTAGTGGCGGATGCAGGAATGACCACTCATAGGGTCATAGTGTAAACTACCAAATAATTTTTTAAGATGAAAAAAATATTGAAAATGAAACGATAGTACTTTCACTCATAATTAATGTCAAAAATAATATTACAAGTTACAATTGTCCACGACGAGGTTTCATTTATTTGAATTGAGGCTTAGGGTTTAGAAATTAGAACTTACTTGAATTGAATTGTAAACTTTCACAAAAATAGTGGCGGCAACGGGAATTGCTGGTGGTGAACGGCAGCTAGCACCCTTGGTGGCGGTGGCAAGGGAGGAGATGGTGGTAGAGGTCTTGGGGAGATTGGGGTTAGGGAGGAGAAATATGAAAATTTGGAGTTTGGAGGGTCTGTTTTCGGGTCTGTTTGCTGTTAAGAAGTTGCAGCCCGTTTTTTTATTTTTTTATAAAAGTCCTAGACCAAAACGACGTCGTTTTGGCTAGGTCTTTTTAAAAAAATTGCATTGCCCAAAACGACGTCGTTTTGCAAGGCAGTTTTTAAAAATAAAAAAACTGAAAAGAACCCCAGCCACCGAAGCTTCTTCTTCTCCATGGGGTCATTTCCATGGCTTCCAAGGGCAAAAACCAGTCCCTAACACTAAACTCCAGATCTGCCATGGGGTCGTCTGACCCCATTGACCCCATGGTGGATCCGCCTTTGATACACATGTTAGGACTCGAATCCAGGACAATCTTTGAATCCTTAGCAAGTAATTATAAGGAGTTTTATTAAACTAGTGCATCCTTTGCAACTAAGGAAATTTTATCGAACGAGAGGATCCTTGGCAACTAAGGAATTTTTTTTAAGCTTGAGAGCACCGAAATGTATATGTACTATGTAGTGTTCCTTTGTTCTGAAAAGTATTGTAAAGTAATAAAGAAAGGGAGAAAAAGAGAAAAAAAGAAAAGAAAAAAAAGGTTTTTTCTTCTTTTTTGGCAATAAAAAGGAAAAGTAGACTACCTGTTTAGGGGAGAGGTATTTTGAGTGATTCCCTAACTTTTGCCCTTAATTTTTTTTTCGCAGACACGAATAATTAATTTGAAATGTTTTAGTAAATTTTATTCTAAGACTTTAAATTGATAGGTAACCTAAGCCTCAACATTGCATCAATATCCAAAAAGAAAAAAAAAACATATTGCGTCGATATGGCAACCTCCAATACCACACATGTGAGTTTGAAACTCCTGATCGACACAAGGGGCTGCAAAGTTTTGTTTGCCGAAGCCAGCAAGGATGTTGTTGATTTTCTCTTCAGTCTCCTGTCTCTGCCTGTTGCGACTGTGATCAGGCTCCTCTCCGAAGACGGCATGGTTGGTCGCATGGGAAAGCTTTATGAGAGTGTCGAAAATCTCAATGACACATACTTGCAACCCAATCTTGACAAGAACACCTTGCTGAAACCAAAGACCACAGTTGCTGCTGGTGCCAATATCCTTCCTTTGCTGACCAACAATATTAATGTCGACTCGAATTCTAAACAGTTCTACATGTGTTCATGCTGCAATCCCCTTCATATTTCCGATGTTTGTGGAACCCTTTGCCCAAATAGAAGCGATTACATGTCCATTAGGGTGACTTATGTTTCCCCACAAGCTTCTTCTTCTACGGTGGTGGCAAAGTCCGGCTGCGAGGGAGGGTATGTCAAGGGAGTAGTAACATACATGGTCATGGATAACTTGGAGGTGAAGCCAATATTGTCCACCATTTCAAGTATTGCTGTACTTAACCAGTTCAATGTGAAGGATGTTGGTGCTCTTCAAGAGAAGGTGGTTCATCTTGGGATGCAAGAGGTCTGAATATTATTCCTCCTAATAATCTCTATACTTTTACTCTATAATATATAGTGTAACTTGTTATGTTCTCCTGTTGGATTAATATATATTTTCTGTTTAGATTTCATCTTTCATTAATTATATATATATATACTTGTTGGATTAATAAATAAGGCTTGAAGTCAGGCTATTTATGCCGAATCATCATGCAACTCAACATTCAAACTAATTCCTCGTCTCTGCTTTGATTTAAAGCTTATTTGTTTGACATATTGTATGTTTTGTTTTTTCTCTCCGTAGGGTTTGAAGCTGCTGAAGGCAACGTTCGAGACCAGTGCAGTCCTTACCAAAGTGTTCCTGGGGGCCTAAAACGTTTTCTGCTTTGTGAACTAAGGAGATTTGTATTGCTTTATGATGTCATTTTGGAGGTTTCCTTATTTCGGATTTCAATCTTTTCTCATTTCCCTTTGAATGAAGAAATTGTTTGCTTAATTTGATTGGTTAGCTTGCACATGTTCACCCCAAGGCTCGAGCCTCGAGAAATGAATATTATGAAGCATCTCATAATATGAAATGTCATGCTAGGTCAAATATATATATATATATATATATATGGGGGCGGATCCGTGGCACCATATTTTTGACACAAGTTTTGACACAATTTTTGGACCATTAGATTACTCTACTTTTAATGGTTGAGATTAAACCTAACATGACAAAATAATATATTTTTTTCTTTAATTAATACTAGCCTCTCCGCACACGCTTTCGCGCCTGCGAGAGGCCTTTTTTTTAAAAAAATTTATTTTATTTTAGAATTAAAAAAAGATAATGGGTAGTTGTTTTCCATAAAAATAGGATCCATTATCCGATTTTTCTTTTAATTTTAATTTTTTTTAAATAAGAAAAAGTGCGAATTTACCATATTATCCTCATTTAATTAATAATTTCAATTCTTAATGTTTGCATTAACCAAGGGCATTTTTTGGTATTTTGAATGTTTCACCATTCTCTTCCTTTTGCTTTATATATACTAGCCTCTTTGCATGCGCTTACGCGCCTGCGAGAGGCTTTTTAAAAGAAAAAATTAAATTTATTTTAGAATTAAAAAAGATAATGGGTAGTTGTGTTCCATAAAAAGAGGATCCATTATCTAATTTTTCTTTTAATTTTAAAATTTTTAAATATGAAAAAGTGTAAATTTACCATATTATCCTCACTTAATTAATAATTTCAATTCTTAATGTTTGCATTAACCAAGGGCATTTTTTGGTATTTTGAATGTTTCACCATTCTCTTCCTTTTGCTTTATATATACTAGCCTCTTTGCATGCGCTTACGCGCCTGCGAGAGGCTTTTTAAAAGAAAAAATTAAATTTATTTTAGAATTAAAAAAGATAATGGGTAGTTGTGTTCCATAAAAAGAGGATCCATTATCTAATTTTTCTTTTAATTTTAAAATTTTTAAATATGAAAAAGTGTAAATTTACCATATTATCCTCACTTAATTAATAATTTCAATTCTTAATGTTTGCATTAACCAAGGGCATTTTTTGGTATTTTGAATGTTTCACCATTCTCT